AACAGGAGCTCACCCCATCGCAGGGATTCGAACCGCCGACCTTCTGATCGGCAAGTCCTAGGCTCTGTGGTTTAACCCACAGCGCCACCCGCGTCCCTATACATTCATATAGACCTTCCTAAAACTCCCAGGTGTCAGATCCGGACTGCTGAGAGCCGGTTGGGCAGAATATGCTCTTGCAGCTTGTCCTGACACAGCTGCCCCTCTTGGAATTAACCCGGCAGTGTGTGAGACTGACTTGTGTGTGGAAAGGGGAGGGAACACCCTGCATGCTTCGCCTGTTCAAGAGGCTCTGTTTCTGCTCCCGTGTTGAGGCTGCCGACAACCTGGGGTTTTGCTTTCTTGACTGGATGTTTTCATCTGTGCAGAAGAGGCACTGCTAGCCAGCTTGCTTGCCTTCCCAGATGCCTTAGGTATTAATCTGCCCTGGCTGCATGAGACTGGCTTCTGAGATTGAAGGGCTAAGATAGCAGGTCTGTTGCTTCTCTGGAGGCAGCTCAGAAGCCTTTAGTGATTCAGGAGCCTCTGGTGAGGTTTTTTGGATGTAGTGTGTGTGTGTGTGTGTGTGTGTGCGCGTGTGTGTGTGCGTGCGCATGTGCGTGCGTGAACACATGCTTTATTTGCACTTGGGGGTGTTTAGGTGCTTGCCTATTGTTGATTCTGAGGCTCACCAGTTCTTATTATTTGACACTAATATTTTGTGATGATCATAAGAGATTCTTAGATTCCCAAAAGTGCCTCTTGCGCCTGTTCTGTGCTATATTGCTTAATAATTTACTTCAGGTCAGTTGTTTCTCTACAATTCCTATTTAACCATTCTTTATATGACTGACAACACACCCTTTCAAAGTGACAGCTGAATATGCACATGTATAGTTAGAAAACATCATGGACCTAAGAACATTATCTGTTCTGGACAACTTATTTGCAAAAGCCAGAATTTGTCCAAGTTGTCCAAGCTGATCAAAACCAATGGATTTGATCAGCCCTTACTTAGCCTGTCAGCAGGGACGCAGGTGGCGCTGTGGGTAAAACCTCAGCGCCTAGGACTTGCCGATCGCATGGTCGGCGGTTCGAATACCCGTGGCGGGGTGCGCTCCCGTCGTTCGGTCCCAGCGCCTGCCAACCTAGCAGTTCGAAAGCACCCCCGGGTGCAAGTAGATAAATAGGGACCGCTTAGTAGCGGGAAGGTAAACGGCGTTCCGTGTGCTGCACTGGCTCGCCAGATGCAGCTTGTCACGCTGGCCACGTGATCCGGAAGTGTCTGCGGACAGCGCTGGCTCCCGGCCTATAGAGTGAGATGAGCGCACAACCCCAGAGTCTGTCAAGACTGGCCCGTACGGGCAGGGGTACCTTTACCTTTACCTTTACCTTACTTAGCCTGTCTACAAGTGCTTTTCCAGTTAGCACTCAAACAGCTCTCCAGTTCTGAATACAGGATGGGTGTTGAAAGGTCTTGGCCCTAGGAGCATAGTGGTTCAATTCTCTGAAATGTGCTCTCTTTCTTTCCCTCTTTCTCTCTCTTTACCCACCCTCAAGGCTTTGGGCTGCCATGCTGAAGCTGACCAGGTTAATAGTTCTTGTGATCTTGGCGATACAGGTCATTGCCCTCACCTTCTGGTTTCAGCTTCATGGCAGGAAATGTCCTCTGGCACAGGAGCCATCCCAGGTGCACATTCTCATCCTCTCCTCCTGGAGGTCAGGGTCTTCTTTCGTCGGGCAGCTCTTCAGCCAACACCCTGATGCCTTCTACATGATGGAGCCAGCCTGGCACGTCTGGGCAACCATGTACCAAAACAGCGCCAAAGTCCTGCACATGGCGGTGCGGGACCTCATCCGGTCAGTCTTCAAGTGCGACATGTCGGTCTTCGATGTCTACCTTCCACAGAAGAGAAATGTGTCAGATCTCTTCCAGTGGGAGGTCAGCCGGGCCTTGTGTTCCCCACCAGTGTGCAACTCCTTCCAGCGCAGTGACTTCATCTCCAAGCATGCCTGCAAGACGCTCTGTAGGAAATCCCCCTTCAGCAAAGTGGAAGAGGCCTGCAGGTCTTACAGCCACGTTGTCCTGAAGGTGGTCAGGATCTTTGACCTCAAGGTGCTCTATCCTCTCCTCAATGACCCCTCCCTGAACCTCAAAATCATCCACCTGGTGCGTGACCCCAGAGCCGTTTTCCACTCTCGCAAGAACACAGGAGGTAGCCTGGCCCGGGACACGAGGATTGTGCTGAGACACAAGAGGAATGCAATGGATACTGAGCCCTACGCTGCCATGCAGGAGATTTGCAAAAGTCATGTTGAGGTTTACACTGAAAGGCAGGCAGGCCCTTCCCAGCACCCTCCAGGATCGCTACCTCTTGGTGCGGTATGAAGATATTGCCAGCAATCCCTTGGCCAAGGCTGCTCAGCTCTACAGTTTTGCAGGACTGCCCTTCTCTCCTAACCTTCAGTCCTGGGTGCACAACATCACCCATGGGCAGGGCCTTGGCAAGCAGGCCTTTGATGTTGACTCCAGGGACGCAGTGAATGTGTCACAGGCTTGGAGGAAGGCCCTTCCTTATCTCCAAATAGCAAAGCTGCAAGAGGTCTGTAAGGATGCCTTGAAGCTACTGGGCTATCCGCTAGTTAAGTCTGAGGAAGAGCAGAAGAATATGGCATTAGACCTCTTTTATGCCCAAACGCCTCTTGTCAATCAGGAAAGCAAAAGGAGCCTGGAACCATCACCTGCAATTTCTTGGACTTGGACCAGATGAGACATCAGAAGCTTCCTAACACTATTGGTCCATTCGGCTCACTATTTTCCACACTGACTGGCAGTGGCGCTGCCAGCAAGATGGCAGCTTGACTTGAACTGTTTCTGAAATACAGCAGTCATGCAAAAAAAAATGATGCAACAGCCCACAAGGGAGAAGTCTGCCCAGCTCGTCACAGAATCTTGTCACTTCATTTCTGCAAGTTTGCAGTATGTTACAGCTGAAATTTCGCCCAGGGACAGGGATCTGGACGCAGCAATGGAATCACCTCTTCCCTTTCTGTTTGAAAAGCTGGGGGGACAGATGGGCTTGGCTTACATTCAGGCCCTGAATCCAACAAGCACCCTTTCATAATATGGTCTCTTAATGGTAATATGGTTAGTTTTGCAGACTAGCACACTTATTAAGGCATAGGCTGTGTTAATTGGATTACCAATGCCAGAATGTTTGTGTGGTAACTAGGTTTTGTGGGAATGGCCAGTGTAAATGACATAAAAATCTATTTCTGTACTTTTCTGCATTTTCTTCCCTTCTGACTTAACTGTTGACAATTCCTACTCCTGAGCTGTGTACGTTTGCACCTGTAACTCAGGATAACACCTTGTGCATCTGATGAAGCCAACTGCAGTTCACAAAAGCTTATGCCAAAATAAATTTCTAAGTTGTTAAGGTGCCAGAAGACTCTTTGTTGGTTCTGCTATAAGAGACTAATAAAACTAATCCTAAACCCTCTGTGGGAAATAAGCTCAATAACTGTCAATCTGGCTAACTGGCAGACATCTCATACAAACCTGAGCATAGAGGCACCCAGAGACTTCCCCAGATCCTACAAAGGCAGAGTCAAGGGTCGTTTCTGTGCAGGGGCCAGTGTAGAAATGTAGCCCCCACAATGCCTTCAACTCATGAGAGTAACTGAGGAAAATTGGGTGGGGGGCTACAAATGAGAGGATTTCTGTGGATCTTCGTCTCATCCAATCTAGCAGTTCAGTGTCTACAACTTTCAAACTCACCCGGAGCATCCTTACAAGCCACAACGGAGAGATATTGCTAACTCCCAAGAAATCAAGCCTTCTTAAAAGTGCATATCTACTGAAAGAGTTCCTACAGAAAGCCTTGGTATATTTCTCACAATGCAATGACCAGGAGAAGGTTAGAGAAGCAGGGTATAAAATGTTGGCCCAAAGTACAAGCACCAAGTCAAAAGTGTCTTCCATGATGATGAGACTCCTTGGCCACGCTGGGTGATGGCAAAAGGAGGTTTGGTTCAATGGCTTGTTTGTGTGAAAGAGCATGGAGTCTGTGGTTGGATGAAAGGAAATGCCAAAGTGCATGGATCCCCTTGGCTGGGGAATCAGCTGTCAAGAGATAGTTGACCTCCTGTGTGAGGAAAATAAGCCTTTATTGTAGCTCTTGAAGCACCTCCCAGTGAAGCAAAAAGAGGCCTCAGATTTCCCAAAGCTGTAAAGCCCCTGACACAATGGGGGCCCTTAACAGGGCATGAGCAAAGCAAAATAAGGTCCTAATTCTTATAGCAAAACGTATATATTTTAAAGTAACAGTACTAGTAAAAACTAATTAAGATCAATAGTCAGTGCTTACAAAAACTCATTCCTTTTTCTAACCACAGTCCAAACCACTCCTTTCTTGACAGTAAACACTAAATGCCAGCCCAAAACAAAACATTTCTTTTGTGCAGTTTTTCTCCAACCGCTACCCCTTCCCTAGTCCTCTTTTTATTATCCATAGAATGCTCTCATCCTAAACAGTGGCATAGCATCGTCAGATGGTACCCAGTGCGGAAAATTTATTGTCATCCCCCCCACTGAAATTCTTAAAAGAAGAAAAAATAAGATAACTTACAGTTGAAAGTGTTATTTTCTGGTTTATTTATTTATTTAACATTGTGAGCATAAGAACTTAAAATATTTTTTTCCTAACTTTGTTCTCTGCAAATTTTGAAATCCCATCATTAAAATCAATTCCTTTTGCTACTTTGTTTTCAATTGGCAAGATGGCTAAGCCAGAGAGCTTTGCCATTCCCTGTGGGAATGTTCAGGGAGGCAGGAGAGGATATATTATTTAATTATATCCTTCCCTACTTGTGTTAACAAGTTCTATGATTTAACAGAGTAATGTTCCCCTTTTAAACTTACACAGCGGATAGATTTGCCAGGCTTGCATAAGCCTCTAAAATAAGTTTCCTGGTAATTCCCCTTTCTTCCCTCTTAAAAGAATAGACACGACACAGTCTTGTATAAAAGTATATAAAATAGTTTACTCACATTCTGTTCACAGAAGGATCCCAGAAGGCAGACTTAAGTTACAAGATATATACACCTGGAATCTATGCATGTCAATGTCTGAAACATTGTTTAAATATTTTATTTTGTATATTCATAGTCTGTTTTTTGATCTGAAAAATCTACTAGGTGGCTCATAATTGATTTTAAATCCACAGCTTGGCTGGAACTAGAAATGGCTTCAGTCCCCCTGGTGGATTATCTGCACTGGAAACTAGATACTGGGAGTGTGCCCCTTTTGGCTCTGACCCTCAATTACATATTACAGTAACCCAATAATTACATTTTATCCTCACAACAACCCTGTGAGGTAGGTTAGGCTGAGAGACTGACCTGAAGTCACCTAGCAGGTTTCATACCTGAGTAGAGCTACAAGGTCCTAGTCCAACACTTTAACCACTACACCACACTGGCTCATGACTGGATCAGGCAGCGTCAGTCTTGCTAGCCCAGAATACTGGTTCCAATAGTGGCCAGCTGGAAGGAAGCAAAGAATGGCTTATACAGGAAATGTTGTACAGAGGCTCATGTTTCCTCATGCTATGATTATGAGAATGGAAAAGGCTGCTGAGATGGGGATTTTGTGGAAGGACCAGGAAACAGGAGCCTGTCTGGCCCTATGCATGTTATGCATGTTTGCTGGTGTGATTTTTACAGAGTTACTGGGGCTTACTCCCATTTGCACTCACATCCTCTACTTTTTCTGTTGCCTCCCTTACTTCAAACTACTATATAGACAGCAAACGCATTATGGCAGGGCAAAATTATCTTGTTACTCTATAATGCTTGATGCCCATAAACAATGCATGGTGCCCATGATGCAGACCCTTCGAGTGTCACTATTTTCCAGTGACAGTTCCAGATTTACAGAAGCCACCCCATTTTCTGATTTGATCCTGGAATGCCCCGCTTTTCCATATAACGTCCCTATTTTCAGTGGAGAAAGGCCATGGAAAGTCATGGGAGCCCCGAGCCAAGGAGATAAGTAACCATACCTTTAGAAAACATCTGAAGGCAGCCTAGTATAGGGAAGCTTTTTAATGTTAAATGTTTCATTATGGTTTTTTATACATATTGGAAGCCAACCAGAGTAGTATTAGTATTAGTAGTAGTAGTAGTAGTAATAATAGTAATGTAATAGGACATCCCTATTTTCTTGGGAGAAATGTTGGAGGGTATGCATGATGTCGCTGCATAAACACCAGCAACAAATGTAAGGAAGTTGGCTTTAGCGCACATGAGAGGAGAACAAGTCCATTTTCTGGGCTGTTTTTCCTCCCCACTGAGATTTGCAGTTAGCCGAGCTGCTCAAGAGAAGAGATGATGCCTGCCCGCCACCCCCCTGAATCTCCCTGGGTGGGGGAAAGGAGAAGGCGGGGGGGAGGGGTGTGGGAAATAGAACAGCGTGCTCCTGCACACATTGCTCCTGCCTCTGCCTGAGCCCAAACCGGAGGCGTGTTCCCAGTCCAAGGCGACGCATGTGCAGCCAGGCCGTCATGTGGCCTCCCTGAGGAGGGGGGCTGGTGTCCTGGGGATTCTGGCTTGCACTGACCTCTCCCCACCCTCAGCCTCCACCCCCACCACACTCTACTTCTTCTTTGCCACCAGAGCAACCAGCAGTGGTGGCAGAAGGAGCGTGGCAGCGTTGTTTGCCCGAAGTCACTTTCTTTCTGGGGCCGGGAGCGGGCGCGTTGAGCATTCTGTCACCCCCTCATGATGACACCCGGGGCGACCTGCCCCCACTGCCACCCACTTCCTACACCACTAATCCTGAGACCTCTGCAAAGGAGTTGAAGTGTAATTTAGTCTTGAAGAATTCATGGGTAGCTTTTGTGTGAAAAGCCCTCTAACGAAGTTCACACATCTGATCTGTTTCAATAACCAAGTTCACATCAAGCCTGGTTCCAATCAATGTGGTTGCTGTTCTACTTGCTTCAGCGAGGTATGGCTGGATACAAGATGACCAAATTAGCCATTTCCTTTTAGGGTTTATGACGATCCACATGTGCTCTTATTTATATAAGATTTTTACAGTCCAAATTCATTTTGCAGTGGAGACTTGCATCAATCCTGACAGTGCTCCCTTTTTCTGTTTTCCACTACCATTAAGGACCATTTTTGTCATGGTTTCCTGCCATCTCCTTCCATCTCTGCTGATGTTTTCTACCATTTACAGCAGTTTTCCACCTGCCTCATAGACACAACACTGAACGTTAACACCCTGGTTGCTCCCACATTTTCTTTGAGAAGTTAGAATGTTCATGAAGATTCCACAACATCACCATCATACAGGGGCAGGGATGGCCAAAAGTGATGGTCAGATAGAATGTATTCATTTCATAGCATAACCTTTTGAGGCTGGCGAGTGCCACATCTATTCATAGCAGGAGCCTTTGATAATGCCTTAAGGGCCAGTTCATGGATGAGTGATCAAGTTTAAGAGCATGTGAAAACGTATATACTTTGGCAGTGGCCAGTGTGGCTCTAGTCAGCTGTGTAAACCTCCTTAATCTGGCTGCATTGATCTTTTAGAGCTCCTGGATGTTTGTATTTCACAAAACTCTTGAAAAACCTGTCAAAGAGATAAGTTACTGTTGGCACCTATAACACTTTTTTGCCGCATGATTTGGACAGAACATTCAGAGGATGTGGCATTTAATGAGGAAGGGAGCACAGACAGATTCGGTTCACTCATTTGTTCCATACCTGGCTGTTCAGCTATGATTTCTCTTTCCTTACCAACTCAAGGAAGCCAGTGCCACACACAGAGACCTGAATACATACCTACATTTACTGCACCTCTATCCAAGGTGCATTTGCCATGATGTGGCAGAAATTTATCACATACTCCAATACCATCATACAAGTTGTTTGCCCTTCTCTACATCTATTTAAAAAAAAATTAAGTCTGCAGCCTCTGTGTCATCGGCTACCTTATTTTAACCAGATAAACTACCCTTAAAAATTAGGTAGAGTTTTTAGGTGGGTTTTTGTTGTTGCTGCTGTTATTGATTTTCAATTTTTGTATCTTTATCTTTAGATCTTACAATGATTTGTTTGGGAATTGTTCAATTATGGATGTGTTTTATTTAATGTTTATGACTAGTTTTGTTATGTTTTGATTATCTAAATCTTTTCATGTTCATGTACGAAAGGCGGCATACAAATTAGATGATGATTAAATGTTCTTCTACAAGAAATCCCAGGCTGGTGTCTGAATAGCCAAGATGATGAGCAATACTATGCATTTGCTACAGGACATGTAGGTGCTCCCCCTCAGCACTCTTGTTAGCCTAAATGATGGGGGTGGGGTGTATGCGTATCTATCTAAGTGGGTGTGTTCTGGCTCCAGAAATCATTCCAGTGACTAAGTGCATCAGTGCTACTGAATATTCTTGACTGGGTAGAAGCACTTCTGGAGGGAGGGATGGGGGGTGGGATGACCCCACAGGAAGACCCAAGCAATGCTCCAACTTTAGGGGATTGGCTAAAGTCGAGCCAAAAATGTGTGGCTGTCTGTTGCCAAGTACCTCAGAATCGGCCACTGCCACACCTAAGTTCCAACTTAAGGCAAGCTGGCGAAGGGAGAATAAAGAGGCTGATTGTACCAGGTCCACAGAAATCTCCTGTGAAGTAAATAAAGGCTTTGTGTACAAATGGAAGTGAGGAGAAGGAAAGTCTCAAAGAACGGTGTCTCCATCACAACAGCTTGCTGTGCTTTCAGTCACAGAAGACAGTAACCACAGGTTGCTGGCCTCCAGAGACTTTCCCTCTAGCCTGACACTCATAAAACTCCCTCTGAAGAAATGTGTGTGAGAAAGAAGAAGTTTGCTTCCCTCCTACAGTAAACCATGGCTGTTGCAAGCTAACTTTTCCTGAATGCCACGCGCCTGTTCACATTCTCCGCTCCATATTTTGCCACTAGCTTGCTTCTGAGGTCTTCATCCCCCTTCAGCAAGTCCACATCATCCTGCCTGCTCCAAAGAGGGCAGCCACCCAAGGACTGCCCCGTCTGCAGGCAACATTCCACAGCTGCCACTTCCCCACTGTTTTTCAAAAAAGCTTGTGTCACAGTTGTCAGGTCCACGTCAAACTTCTTCATGAAATACTTTATGTCCTCTACTGCCGTGGCCACCTCCACAGCTGAGGGAGCTGCAGGCTGCTGCTCTGCCACTGGGGGCTGGCTTGGGGGCTCAGCAGAATCTCCACCAGATACAAACTCAAGCACCCTGAATTTGGGATTAGGAGGTGCTTCTTCTTCAGAGGTCTTGAGCTCCATGTGTTCTGAAAAGGTGTCTTCTGTGGAGCTGGGGCTCTCACTGTCTCCCTAGAAGGAAGGTGAATTAGGACAGTTCAAGATCACTGTTTCTTTCTAAATTTGTACTCTGATGGTGATGGGGCAATTCTGTTTTAGTCATTCCATCTCATACAAGATAGTGAAGGGTTAGAGAACGTACAGAAAAGAAAAAAATGACAATGGGGTTGGAGAAGTTTCCCTCTGAGGCTTTTGAATCTGACAGGTGGACAAAGTTGACTAGCGGCCCCTTTCCCACTAGAGTCCTTCGGCACTGCAGAAGCACTGCTTTTCTCTAATCAGCATGAAGCAAATTAAAAGGAAAGCTGCTTGGGTCTTACTCACAAGTAGCCCCACCAGTAAAGAGTCCGGCTGGGCTACAGGTAAAGATGGGCATCGAGGCTCGAGGCTCCCACTATAAGCCTCAGAGAGAGTCAGGAAAAGGAGCCAGAGCACGCCTCTTTTGGGAGTATATAATACGGTAAGTTGTACTAGAGTGTGGTAGAGGTGGGTTATATTTTCCCCAACCCACCCCCACAGTTGAGCAGGGCTTCTCTGGTCTGAAAGAAGGCAGAGAGAGGAATGCAGCCCTGCTCCTGAAGGCAGCAAGGAACAGCTGCTTCAACTCTGAAGAGCGAGAGACTCCACGACTGCAACACCAGACAACACACGCTTCCTATAGTGCAGAATGGTCTAGCAATCAGCAAAGGTGAAATAGAAACATTAATCAGAAGCCTCCTTCGGCAGCTTCTACCTCTAAAATGGTTCCTGTTTAGCAGGCTGCATCATTAGTTAATTGGTTAATCCCTGTTCCCCATGTGCGGGAGGCGGGGAGGTTAAAGACTAGTTCCTTCTCTGAAGCTGCAAGGAACATTTTTCCAATTAAAAGCACATGGCAATCCTGAAATGCCTCAAGGGTGTTTACTGGCACACACACACCACAGACTGACACTGCAATGGAGGGAGTGGGTTGGATTGCTACATATACAGCCTGAAAAATATAAGGGGACAACACTGGAATGAACACTGGAATGGCACACAACACTGCCTATATCACCCAGAAAAAGGTGCCTTAATGAAACCTAGCAATTCCAGGCTAAATAGCCAGTGACAAACAAGTTACGTTTGCCAATGTCCAAGGCCAAATATGTCAAATAAATGTAATCGGTTCTGCTTTTAGTCATTCTATAAGCTATGCTGAAACACTCAGTGGCATCCTATGCGAAGGCATCTGTACCCCATTGTCTTCAAATTCTTTGTTAGCTGTCTGGAAAATGCTATGTACCTTTGATCCTTCCGCAGTGTGGCTTTGATCCTCTGGCTGGGGGACATCCTCGACTTCCTCACTTTGGGAGGCTGCTAAAGACAAAGGTATGTTGAGGTTCACTGTGACAAAAGTCATCCAAGCCACATTTCCCACCCTTGTGATGATGCACCAATTACCACCTTGGTGCCATGGGCCCTTGAAAAATGGGAGAAGGAAATGGCAGCTTCAGGTCCTGACGCCCCACTGGCCTCAGCTAGCTAATGAAGTGGGGAATGATGGGTTTTTCTGACTCTTGATTTATTTATTCCCCGCCCCACCCCCCATATGTAAGGTTGTGATTGTGCAGCTAAAGTGAGTGTAAGCTGCAGGCCCACTGCACTGCAAAAAAGCCCTCTTTTCCAGAGGAAACAAAGGGTCAGTTAGGCTGGGGACTGAGATATGAAAGCTAGGAGCTAAATGGCACCTTAAACCTAGGTTATAGGTGCAACAACAGAATGTCTAGGTATGCTCTTTAATAACAAGAATACAAAGCTGAAAATGAATGAACGGCAGCTAAAATATTATGTTCGATTTTCACATGGTCTAGTTCTTCCCCTGCCCACCCCACCCCCTAATATTCTTATGAGGGTCTCTTCTCTAGTCTTCAGAGAGTAACTGGATGTGGGGAGGCAGAAAAAGGTCCTGCTTTCCTTTCTGAAATCTTTAGGCGCAGTACTGCACCCAGAGCTCAGGAACTGCTCACGCTAATGAAATTCCCTGTCGCAAAACACACCTAAAACAATGGGAGTTTTGAACACTGGCTGGGTAAGATCCTCACACAAGTCGGAAGGAGCAGCACTGAACAGGCAAGAAGCCCAAGGATTTGAAGAATCCTAAGGGTAGAGTGGATACCCCTCCAAAGGGGCAGGCAATCCAGAGGGAAGGCGATCATGGACTGGGAAACTGGAGCCTGGGGGGGAAATACTCAAAGACAATAGGGAGTTGAACAAGGGTAGTGGGGAAGAAGAGAGGAGTGAAAGGGGTGTGTGTGCATGAAACACTTGCACACTCACAGGGGAAGTACTTGGCAGGTCACCAGCAGACAGAAGCAGTAGTTTGAAAGCATATGAGGTGTCATGAGGAAATGGCAGGCAGAAGCCCAGTGTTGACCAAAGGCAGGACTGAGAAGGAAGGAGGACGCTACTTTAATAGACTTTGAATTATGTCCCCATGATAGGGCTTGGAGGCAGAAAAGGTGTGAAGAGAAGGCAGGAGGAAAGAACCCCAAAGGGAGAATTTTGCTCCTTTGGCCAACACCTCCTTTGGCCAACACCTGGCCAAAGTCTCATTTCCGGGCAATATAGAAGCCCAGAGGGGACAACAACCTGCAAGATGAGTGGCAGTATTTGACAACCAGGAAGGTGGAAGCAGGAGGTGGGCCAGGGTGCCCCAGACCAGCTGCCTCACCATAATGTAGCAGTGATGCCAGATATAGCCGGTGCCTAGCCGAACCTTGCTGCCTTCTGGCTAGGAAAGCATCCTTCTGCCAGGCCTTACTGCTCCTGACTGGCAGCAGTGACTCTCTGTATGGCTTCAGGCAGGACTCCTTCCCAACCCTAGATGGAGATGATGCCAGGGTCTGAACCAGGGACACTTTCTACTTGCCAAGCAGGTGCTCTGATCCTGTGCTGCGGCAGGAGGCCTTTTGGCCCATTCCAGCTAAAGCAGCCCCGCTTACCAGCAGCAGATTCAGACGAGCTTCTGAGCTTGCCTCTCTGGGCAGGCAGGCAGAGGTCTTCCTTGCCCCGCAGGTGCTTCAGGTAGCGGTCGCGCATGGCCTGCCAGGAGTGCCGAGTGACCCGGGCCGCCTCCATCTCCTTCCAGACAGCGTTGCCACTGCCGGCTGCCTGCCTGCCGCTGCTGCCTCTCTTGCTCCTCCGCAGATGCAGCAGGATGGCCTGGTCTTCCACCTCGGTGAAAGGCAGGCGGCCCTCGGCAGCGCCCGTGTCCGCAGTGACCGGCGGTGGTTGCAGGCGGTATGTCTCCAGCGGCAGGAGCTCCTGGCGGGCCACGCAGTCGGAAACGTAGCTGGCGGAGATGAAGACCCCCGAGGTTCTCGGCGGCACCTCTCCCGGCCGGGCCAGCAGCACCGCGCCCGGCTCCTGCACGCGGCACAGGCGCCCGCCGTGGCGCACGATCAGCGGGGCCAGCTCCACCTTGGCCGCCCCGGGGCGCACGTAGAAGCTCAGGGGGCTGCCGTCCTCCAGCTGGAAGAACAGCCGAGGCTGCGGGGCAGAGCCATCCGGCTCACCCTCGGCCTCCGCTGTGCCCAGCATCGTCCGGACAGCTGGGGCTGCAGAGGAAGGACTAGCCCCGCAACCGGCTGCTCGGGCCCCCCAATTCCCACCCAACGCCGCCTACGGGCTGCTCTGCCCGGAAAGGAAATGGCACTCTGCACGCGCTCAGGGGCACCCGCGTGCTCAGATTAGAGGCGGGGCGACTTGACCCGTTGCACTCCGCCCACTCCCCCCTTCAACGGCGGCGGCAACGTACCGGAAAGTTTCCTTTTGCGGCCGCCGCGCTCCAGTTTGCGCAGACGCGGACGGTGCTTCGTCGAGGAAGGGCGTGGCGCCGCTTGCGGTAAAAGCGGCTGCTGACCCAGAAGTGCTTTCGCTTTTGTTTCCTGTGGGGTGGAAGAAGCACCTGTCGGCCCTGAAGATGGCGGCGCCCGCCACGACAAGCCCTCTGGACGGCGAGGCCGAGCCCCGCCTCAGCAAGAAGTGAGTGCCGGAGCCGGCCGCCGCGGCCTCTGTCATGCTCGGCGGGGCGGCGGCAACGTGGCGGCGGCTGCTGGGTCTCCGCCCGGCCTGGCCGCTGCGGAGCTTCTGCGGGAGCAGGCAGGCGCTTGGCGGGCAGGCGAGGTCGGTGTCTGGCCCGCTGGGTGGGGTGTTGGCTGCGGGAAAGGGCCGCGGGGGAGGGAAGCGCCGCTGATTCTCGGTTCCCTTTTAGCGAGCTGAAGCGGCGCCTGAAGGCCGAGAAGAAAGTGGCCGAGAAGCAGGCGAAGCAGAAGGAGCAGGCAGAGAAGCAGCCGCCAAAGTCCGCCGCCTGCGCGGCTGAGGACGAGGAAAACCTCGACCCCAACGTGAGAAGCCGCCTACGCCGGGGCTGCCCAAGCCCGCGGGGGGGGGGGGACGGACGGACGGGACTAAGTGGGTGGCTTGACGGAGAGGGAGCCGTTGTGGGTTGGGGATCTGCGAGTGGCTCCGACCTGAGCCTTCGCCCAGCTGGTTGTTGGGCAAAAAAGGGGGCTCCTTGGGCCGGAGCTTCTGCCAGATAAAGCTCCCTGATCTGCGCCCACGGTTAAGGCACTGCTTGGGTGGCCTGGTGCAAATGCACCTATTTTATTTCCGAAGGGATCCTCTCAAGGATCTGGCTGAGAGCTTCCCTTGCTGCTTCCAGATCTTTCACTGGAATACTGATGCTTACTGTGAGGTGCTCCTTTGTCTTATGTTAAACAAGTTTCGGGGGCCGAATCGTCATGTACTAATTTGTACATTGTCAAACATCTTTGTCTCCTTTGTACTGGTAGCAATACTACAAGATCCGCAGTCAGGCCATCCAGCAACTGAGAGGCACTTCCGAAGATCCCTTTCCACACAAGTTCCATGTGGATATCTCACTGTCAGACTTTATAGAAAAGTACAATCACCTACAGGCAGGGGATCATCTTACTGATGTTACAGTGAGACTAGCAGGTAAAGGTTCATGTTGGGATTCTGGGAATGAAAGTGATTGTCACCTTCCCCACATATTTTTTTTTACAGTGAAGACTTAGTGCAGTGCTGTGTGGGTAGTTTCTAAGCAAAAGGAGTGTCACTGATTGCTCCTCTTGCGTGAACAGTGAAGCTGCAGTAAGTTTCATAGAGCTGAAGATATAGGGTGGAATTTGAAGTAAGCAAGGTGGCTTTTGTCCTTCAGTTGCTACAAATTCAGTGCAATTGACCTTTGGTAAGGTCTCAGTGGAAGGTTGTATGTTATGTGCTGCCATCCAGAACTGTCATGTGTTTTCCAGGCTTTTCACTGTAACTGATGGCATCTGAGGCATTTTTCTATGTCACTTTTGTCATTTAGGCCGGATTCATGCCAAACGAGCCTCTGGAGGAAAGTTGATATTTTATGATCTTCGTGGGGAGGGAGTTAAGTTGCAAGTTATGGCAAACTCCAGGTAAACAACATTTAACTGCTTTTGTCTGTTATTGCCTTCTGTGAGTCCCAGCGGTGGGGCAGAAAGGAACTGAAAATGAAAGTATGATGTCCTTGGGCCTCCTGAATTGTTCTTGAGGATATTGTCCCAAGGGAACTTCCTTTCTGGCTCACTTTACACATTCTAGAAATCCCCTACAATGGGTTATATTCCAACTAACTATAATTTGTATTAGACCCATTGATATTAACGGACCTAAGTTAACCATATCCATTCATTTCAAAGGGTCTGCTCTACATATGACTAACTGGGGTTGGAGAAATGCTTGCCAAAAAGAGTTGTTTCAGTAAAATATGTTTTAATCCTCCCCCACCCCCAGAAACTACAAATCTGAAGAGGAATATATGCACATTAACAACAAGCTTCGTCGTGGGGACATTATTGGGGTCCAAGGGAATCCTGGCAAGACAAAGAAAGGGGAACTGAGCATCATTCCGTATCAAATCACCCTCCTAGCTCCATGCCTTCACATGCTACCTCATCTTCATTTTGGGCTGAGAGACAAGGTATCTTACTTGGAGCTGCTGTTTCAATAGCTCACTTGATAACCTCTGAGGTTATCCAGTGTACTTTGGTTTTCCTTTGGTATGTTTTATGCTCTAAATCTAGCCATTGTTCGCAGGAAACCAGATTTCGGCAGAGATACCTGGATTTAATTCTTAATGACTTTGTAAGGCAAAAATTCATCGTCCGAGCAAAAATGATAACATACCTTCGAAGCTTCCTAGATGAATTGGGCTTTTTGGAGGTAAGCATTGTGTGCATAGATAGTGCTATATGTTACTCCTACTACTTTGCTTTCATCGTATTCCTAGTTATTAGTGTGGTGTGTGGTTTTTTTTTTTAAATCTGATTGGCTCCTCTGAAAGTAGGATGTTGGACTAAAGATGCCTCTTTTGGCTACATATTCTTTTAAAGCTTGGTGTTCCTTGAGTTGAAAGAGCATACAAGATGACCTTCTTTTCTATTTAATGAAATGTAGAAAAGGATATAGTGTGTGTTGGGCTGTATTCACATGTAACAGTAAACTGAGGTTTGAATCTACACCATAATGTGTACACAGTTTGAGACCTCACATTTTACTACTTCCTTTGTTCAGTTGGAGTAAAAAAAAGTGCTAGCGTGGTGTCTGAATTTATGCTCTTGATTTGTTCATTTCTAAATAAATGTAGAAAAACCACAATGTGAGGCCAAGAATTGTATTTGGTTTTCCCTTTGTGGTTTGCGAGAGACAACCTATGAGTGCTGGATAAGGTGTGATTCATGGGTTGTTGCTCCCAGCTGGCTCGAGGGAAGAACAAAATAGCAACACTGTGTAATTTGCATTTATGCCATAATACACACACACTTTGGCTTTGTGGCACTTGGTCTCTTCGCCTTAATACTAGAGAAAAAGCATTCTGAAGAGTTTTTGTTTGAGAGATGCAGTTTTTTAATTAATGCTGTGTTGTAGATACACCAACTAATAATAATAATAACAACAAAAATTGGCAGAACCAAAAGGAAGACGAAATACAGCAGAGAGAGCCAACCCCACCCACGAAATATAAAATAATTTATTTATAGATAGGAGCAGCACTTTCACTGAAGTTCACACTGAAAAGTGGGGTAAGATTGCACATTCCCACCTCTGGAACACCCAGCTTTCAATCATTTGTCGTCCTCCCATAATACCCATAGAGTCAAAAAACAAAACAGAAGGGGCTGGTGTGCTTACCTTAGTGTGACCCAAAAGGCTTATAATCTCTGACCCTTGTCAGCCATTTGTTCTTGCTTGTCTGTTTCCATTAAACCTGAAACCTTTGGAGGTTGGGTCAGGAGTCTCAGTTCTCAAGTACATGCTTCAGAAATCAACTTTGAAGGTGGGGGCTACTGTGTGGCACGAGAGAGCCAATGAATCATTTGTAGTTTATGTTTGCTTGTTCTTTGATTAGATTGAGACTCCCATGATGAACATCATACCTGGAGGGGCTGTGGCAAAGCCTTTTATCACCCACCACAATGAGCTGGACATGGACTTGTACATGAGAATAGCACCAGAACTCTACCACAAGGTGAACTGTCAGAGAGAGCAGCAGACAGAGAGGATAAAATACATTCACTCTGTTGGTCTGATGCACCAAAAATGTCTGAATATTTCACAGTCACCCCTTTGTGCTTAATGTGCAAATGGAGGCCAGAACTGATTAAAGTACATGTTTCAGAAAGTTCAGAGGAATAAGTTCTGCATAAGAATGCCACGAGGATGGAGGTTTTTGAAGGCTGTGCATCTCTCATACTGATGGGCCTATTGAACTGCCCAAGCAGTTGAGTCGTGTCACACCATTGGGTGGACATGGAGACCAACTTGCGCTGATTATGACAGCAGATGTTTCATTACTTTTGTATGAACTGCAGAAAACACATTTGCATCATGTTCTTGGTGCCGTCCCTGCACCCTTGTCCTCTCCACTGGTTTCAGTGGAAATATTTGGGTCAGGTTAAATGTTCTGCTGTTCATATTGAGATGCAAATTATTCCATGTAACACTGGATTATATTCTCCCCCCCCCCAAGTTATTTACATGTTTCCTCTCAATCTCCTGGATTCCTTCTTACTCACAGATTAGTTATTGGCCCTGGTTGGGGGAAGCTAGGAGAGTCCTAGTGGAGTGGGCCCTGAGGTGGTCTTAGTCGCAGGGTTTGCTTCTAAGACCAGTTTAGGTACAGAACAAATGCCCCTTCACAAAGCAGGTGGGTCCAACTGTCTTCGTGTTTTGTAGATGTTAGTGGTTGGCGGAATAGACCGGGTCTATGAAATTGGGCGCCAGTTCCGGAATGAAGGCATTGATTTAACTCACAACCCAGAGTTCACAACCTGTGAATTTTACATGGCATATGCAGACTACCATGACTTGATGGAGATCACAGAACAAATGCTCTCAGGTTGGTGACCACAATATTGAAGAAGGGGGTGGAGACAAGATCTTTATGAGAATTTGAGCAGTAAACAGACATGGATAGGCATAAAGGGGAGCTCTTCTCTTGCAGGGATGGTGAAACACATCACTGGCGGCTACAAGGTAACGTACCACCCTGAAGGCCCAGATGGTCAGGCCTATGAGATAGACTTCACACCACCCTTCCGCAAAATTAGTATGGTGGATGAGCTGGAGAAAATATTGGGAGTGACTTTTCCTGCTGCAGATCAGTTAAATACAGAAGGTAAAAGAAGACAAATCT